CTGACCGATTCACCCGATTCCCGATCCGGATCGCCGATTCGCCGATCCGGATCGGTTTTTTGGAAGCCCGATCCGGGTCACCTATCCGTTTTTTAAAGCATTGGTTATGGGTGTGTGAGTGCTAGGCCTTTGTTTGCATCTGTATGTTGTATACATAATTGGAGATGAGGACAATATGATTTTTCTCCATAGGGAGCCCCTCCTCTGAGCTTGCGCACATGCATGTGTGTGTTTAAGAGAGAGAGAGAGAGAGTATGCAGCGCTTAAGTTAGACAAGGTAAGTCACTTACTGATAAGCTTTGAAGTTGTGTTCGAAATTTAAGAGGTTGGAGGTAGAGATGCTGTGAATCAACTTGGGTGGAGAAGAATGCAGAAACAGGTCTGTGATCCGAAAACCCGCTCTCGCTGCGAACATATGATAATTGCTGCACACCCTTACCATACCACATAATCCTGTCACACCTATTATTCAAGAAAATAAAATACAAGCAATCCCAACGTTAGGAACTCTCTGAAACCCCTTTATTTTATTCTTCCAATGCCCAAAAAAAGGAAAAAAAAGGTCATAAAGGAGATGGGATCAGGGAATGTTTGCTTCGCAGGAGAGAATTGCTTCTCATGACAAATTATTGCTTTCCCATGTTTGTTTTATGGGAAAGCTGAAGATAGTGGGCATGTGGAAAAGCATGTTTCCAACTTTTAAGTCGTGAGTTATGCATTTTCATGAGAAAGCGCCTTCCGACTTATTTAGATATGAATGCTCTTTCCCATGTAACGAAGAGCTCTCTCTGGAAATGCACCCTGGAGTGAGCTTTCCAACAAAACAAATATGTCCTAAGAGCATTTCGGTGGACGCGTACCAAGCAGGAGTTCGTTGTTTCTCGCCTGTCCTGTTAGGGTTCCCACCCGAGTATCGATTGGAGTTGGAAGTTGAGTACTTGTAGGTGGGTGCGAATTCGATGTTGCCTTCACGCCAACCATCAAACACACCCCCCATGCTCTGCTCCTTCTTCAACTGCTCTCTTTCATATAACCATACTCACGTTAGGGATACCACAATTATACAACCCTACCAGCTTATGCCATGCCCAAATTTTAGATTGGGATGTCAATAAATCCCATTGCAGCGCTATACATTACATTTCTTTTGAGTAAGTAAAAATATGTGTAAAGAAAAAGGGGTAAGTCAAGGGCCCAAACTATTCTAAAAAAGTGATTAGTCAGTGGAGATTTGGCTCCCTACCTTTTGTTGAGAATGAAGTCAGAGATCTCACCATAGAACTCAACAATACTACTGCCAAAGCCTCAAGCCATTCTCATTGTAGCGCTATATATACCTTCGTAATGCATTATGAAATTGTGTCATTTCGAAGGAAAAAAATATGGTCGGGGGCAAATAATGAAATGCACGTTGAGCGGCAGGAGCAGATTGCACACTTAATTGAAACAACTATTAAGAGATGATTGTTATTAGAAAAAAGTATACTAATTCCATGGGCCAAATAACTATTGAAGATTCTATAATTAGGGGGTAAAAATAGATTTTTAGGTCACCACAATGAGTTCGAGCACCAAAATGCATCTTCTTGCAGGGTATGGAGATGTGCCTTATTTTGATGTTTAATGTAAACTGTAGAAAAACACAATTGGCTTGTATAACATTTAGGTTTCACATGGTTTCCTCACACCTCCATGACCATCCGATCTGAGCAAGGGTGTCTTTCATATGGCCAATGTCCCCTCAAATTGTACTCCACCAAGAGTTTATAAGGAAAAAGTCTCGAGCTGCACCTCAAAATTTTATATAAATGCGAGACTCTAAACAATCAAATTAAGGGGCACCTCAAAAATTTCACTAGAAGAGGTTCTTTCGATGCCCAAAAATCTTCAAATTGATCGTCTCAGCCTCAAGATGCATGGATATAAGAAAAAATTGATTTTAAGTTTTGAAAATAGATCATTTAATGCATTTTTTAATCGTCGATTTTCAAGATTCTCAAGTGTTCATAGATCTGCTCGATCTACACTATTTTTGAAGCTTTAAATTTTATAGTTAGAGATGAAAATAGATTTTCAGGCTATCCCAAAGATTTACAATATCGAAACAATATCTTTTAATACTATCCGAAAGTGTGCCTTACTGTGATTGTTTAGAGCCTCGACATTATACAAACCACACCCTTTATCGCTATGTCACTTGTCTAAGGTTCTCATTTTCCAAAATTGGATGAATTGCTACTTGGGGAAAAATAATATGCACCCTAGCAGCATGCTATTGCCATGCCCCTCTCCACATCCACCTTCACCTCTCCTCACAAATGAAACGTGGATGAGTTCAGGAGTATGCTACAACATGCTTGCTAATGAGTACTAGTAGCTCCCAAAACTACACACCTCAATAGATTAGGAAAAGGAGCCAGGATTTGATTATTTCTTTAAGTGTCATGATCAAGGAAAAGTATAGAATGACCATTTACTTTTTGTACAAAAAGTCGTATTCAAGTCTAGCCATGAGATGTGAAATCAGGTGGCTGGAGATCCACCATTAACTATGTTTGAAGCATGAGAAAATTTTCCTCTTAAAAAAGACAAACCTCAACTGATGATTTTAAATCTGATGGCGTGAGATGATAGTGAACTTTTGTAAGAAAGCTTATGGTCACATTGTATACAATCCCAATGATTAAAGGCTGGAATTATGGTGTTCAAAACTTTCAAGTTTAGTTTTACCTGATCGAATTGGTGGAGAGCTTTCCAGTCTTGTTGTTTGATAAGATTTCGAGCCAAACCGTCTGCCAAGAGAAGTCTGTAGTTGAGGTCCCCAAACCAGAATATACGGCTGTTAGATCATTGAAAATGCATAAAATGTTAAATAGTTGATATGTTAGGTGTGACTTGAGAATTCCCTTATTTTCAAATAACAAGTACCCCAAAAAAATGAACATAAATACAAGAAAAAAAAAAATTTATGTAAACACACATTTTTTGCCATATTAAGAGTTTAGACTATACCAGAGCTATTGGTTCGGATTAGGAACCAGTGACTTAATACACTCAATTAATTGGGTTGGCGATCCAAATCCGATTGGTGTCGAAAGCCTGCCAAAACTTTTTGGTTCAGACCGATCTTGATGACCTTTTTCAATGTTTTTAAAATTTGCTTATAGACTTGGATGATGATTTCAAGCCAGGATTTATAAACTGGCTAATCTGATTGATTTGGACTAGATGGGTGCCCTCACTCGTTCAATAACATGTGATAATTGTCCAACTTGATAATCTAAATCCCTGAGAGGTTTCCAAAGAAATCAAACAAGCATAAGCCTTGAATATATCACGCTAATATATTGTAATATATTTGTTATTGAGCAATGATCCAATGCAACGGTTGCATTATAGTATAATGCAACGACACTTCTAGAAAACTATGTTTGTGGTATTTGTATGACCTTAAATTTTTCACACACACTCTCTTCATCTCAATAATCAATCCGTCAAAACAAAAAAGTTCAATTTGAACCTTAGATATGGTCAAAATGAGTCCCCTTCAAAAACAAATATAGACCATTTATTTTGTGAATTTCAAGATCTTAGCCTTTATAAACTCAAAATAATTTTTTTCCTTTTTTAACATTGTTTATCTAATGATAATAAAGCCATCCAAAAAAAATTGAAAATGAAAAAGTCATTCTAAGGCCTAGATCTAATCATCTCACCAAAATAAACGGCCTACGTTAATTGGGCTAAAAAAATACTTTTTAAGTTGTGTTTTCATTTTTTTCTTTTTTTGTGATTGTTCATTAGAAAGAAAAAAGTGTATATTTCAAAATTTGGATCAAACAAATGGCCATAAGATGGTTTTTTAAGGTTATTGCAGCATATTATGCATGAAATCATTGCCCTTGTTATTTGTTCATAGTGGCCTTTAAATGTATGGTAAAGATTCGTTACCAAGTAGAAATGTGGACGATTTGCGAGATTAGAAACTTCAAACTACAAGAAGAATTTTAAAGTGCCCTGCCCACTGTCATTACACTTGTTGGATCTCTGGATGCATACTTTATGATGGGTGTATCATAAACGGATAGCATACCATGATCCATGTGATCATGGAAACAATGTGGTCATGAGGTATCACAATCCCATCAATATGTTTGACGGTATAGGACAAACACTACGCATGTTGATGTTGATTTAGTTGTATAATCCCCTCTCACCATTACGTTCTAACTCATTGATTAAATGGTGATCATGAATATTTAAAGGAGTGGAATACCTTTTATATGGGGAAAATAATTTGATAGGGCTGCAGCCCTATAAAAATAAGTAAAGCGTCACCTCATAACTTATCGAAATTTGCAATTCAAGCATTGATAAAACTTTACATCGATCATCTTGGCATTAGTATTATGGTTGTCAAAAAAATTACTATTTCAAGCACAAAAAAATAATATATATTTTAACAAATGATCTAGACCGTGTACTTTACCCTACAAATAAATGTTCACAGATCCGCAATTGGAAATTGATTTTAGAGCCATCATGGAGTTTTTCATTGCCAAAAGTGTTTTCAGAACGGGGAATTGAGGTGAGGGTTTATTTTGTTTTGACCGAATTAGCAACGTGCCAGCAATTTTTCATGCAAAACCACAAAACATGCCAAATAAGTCATAGGCTTTATGAAAATAAAGTATCCTCTCCTCATATCTTCATCCCGTTAGCACTTTGAGCATCGAAGATCTCTATTCTAAAATTAGTATCAAATTAAACAATAAAATTTGAAGCCCAAAAAATAGTACAGATCTTACGGATTCGTGAACACTTGTTTTAAGGCAAAATAATCAGTTTAGATAATGTATTAATCCTAATTTTTTTCTCACAACTATAACAGTCATGGCCGAAATGATCGATTTGATGATTTCTGACACTAGAAATTACAATTTTTGGTGAGTTTTGAGGTGAGGCTTTTTATAGTGTTGCAACCTTATCAAAAACATTTTCCTCTATAAAGAGGTCTACAAGTGTAGAATGGAAATCAGGTTAATTAGTCTTTAACTAGTATTAGGAAATCTATTGTGTGAGAGGGTTGGATTTTAGACTCCTTATCCTATGTGAGAAATCTAAGAAAGAATAAAATATGCAACTATAACCACCAATTTCTGCAATCTAACTAAGAGAAAAGTGGTGAATTGGTTGATTGGGAATAATCATATGGGGTGCACCAAATTGTGGAAGTTTCATGTAAATTTTCAGGTATGTGATCCTGCTAATGTTTCATGTTTTTAGAACACCTAGTTAGCAATGTGCCAGCAATTTTTCTTGAGGCAAACCTTGGTTTTGTTCTATTGTTTTGCATCAACGTTCAACCCTGTAGAGTTTTATTGGAGGCATGTGGAGTAATAAGGCTTTAATGGAAGGTATTTAATGCGATTTTGCTGGACAATTTTAAGATATGACACCTTGTACACCCTTATTTCCGAGAAAATCACAAAAGGTACTCTCATAACCACATTTTAATATTAATTTAGGGAAATTATGCATCGTTTGGAATTAATGTCAACTTTTTGGGTCCTATATTATGGACTTCTCTACAGCATATCAGAGCTTTGTTTATTTTTACCTATCTTTATAGGCAGTCGTGAAAATAGGCAGTATTATATTGATATAACAATATCTAAAAAATTGCCATTCGAACAAGGCCTTAGGTGAGAGCATTAGTTTTCAATTGAATTGGAGGTTGTTAGACAGTTGAAGAAAAATATGTAATGAAATTTTAGTTATTTTTTGTGGTTTGATATGTAAAATGAGGGAGGATGAATGGTATAAGAAAGTTCATTCATGTTAATTTACAGTGCACTCACTCATGTCCCATGATGGTCTGAGGCAAGGGAAAAACCCTATCATGGAGGCGCGGGAGGAATGCGGTACGTCTGAATATCTTGGATACCTGACGGTTCCTCCGAGCCTCGTCCCCGGTCTTCTCCCCGGATGCGAGGTGCACACCGACAAAGCAGAAGCTCGTCCCCTCGATGCACAAGCTCACAGACACTGCACCCTTGTTACCTAAGTATCCCATCATCCCACACCCCACAGAGAAGACCTCAACACCTGAGACCCTCCCTTCTTCTATCATTTTCACCTTAGCCCACACTGTCACAAATATCCCCACCAGTTGTCGGCTAGCCGCACAGGCATAGTTCAGCCCAAAGAATCCCCTCACCTCCTCATCCCTCTGTCGCCGCCCATATCTGAGTGGTGTCATGGCTCTCAGTTGGCTACCATGGCGTTGCTCAAGAGTGGTGGGTGTCCCCGTCCATCGGAGTGTGTCCCACGCATCGGGGGCCATTGTAGTCCTTGGTTTGTTCAGGCACCGAGATATGAGGGAATTCCATTTGGCCGCCGGGGCGCCATTCTCCACCACCCCCAGCACATTACGCGCTCTAAGTGGAACCACTTCTTGGAACCTGAAAATAAGTATGCAAAATGCAATCTTAATTATATGTTCGACATGGCCGAGTCCCGGAACATTGTTAGTTTACCTCATAAAATGAACAAGAAAAAGAATAAAAGAATCGAAATTACCCGAGGACATAGATATCAGCAGGATGAGTTTTGAAATTCAACCACTCCTCCAAGTCCACAACCAAGCTATCTACAGGGGCTCTTCCAGCAACATTCCATGTACCCACCAGCACTCTAACATCATGTAAACAAATTCAGGCAATCTAAACTAAAATTTTGACATGAAGAATGATAGAATATCTCAGCTCCTTAATCATCCTTCTATTGTCTTGAATAAATAAACAAATATACTGATAATTTAAATAGATAATTCGGCAACCTGCACTCTACATCCTGGATGCGGTCAGCCCAAGGGCGGCGGAATTCTCCTCCACTAATATCATCCATCTTCCATGCCAAACAACACTCTCCCTCACCTCTTCATGCAAATACTCACACCAAATGAATTCAGGCATGAAAAGCTTTGAAGCATTTTGGCAAGAAGGAGGGCCCTAAACCAGAACAGTCTCTTTGTCTATGAATCCTCTCTGAATTTGTCCCCACAATTTGTTCCAATCACCCACACCCTCGGTTGCATCACCCAACCAATAGCAACTCACACTGCTCCAATGCTTGATGCATTGAAAAGCCAGTGTTTAGCCCAACTATTTTGTTTGTTAGTATACTCTGCTATTGTTTGGGTTTTAGGTAAGGTGGGTATGGGTGGCAATGGACCTGGACCTGATCCGGGACCCAAGGGTAGACCCGACTCTGGTCAGGGTATGGGTCCAAAAATTGGACCTAGCAGGTTGGGTATAGGTCCAAATCTTGGACCCAAACACTATTTGAGTCCTCTGGGTCCCATATATATTTAGGTCCCATATATATTTAGGTCCCAATTTATGAAAAATAGTTAAATATATTTAAAGGAAAAAGTTTTTATAGAGCCGAGGATCTAAACAGTCAAATTAGAGCCCATCTAAAAAATTTGACTAGAAGAGGTTGTTTTGATGCTCAAATATCCTCAAATTGATATCTCGACATCAAGATGTATGGACATGAGAAAAAAATGGATTCAAGTTTTGGAAATAGTACATCTTGTAATGCATTTTTGGACCGTCAATTTTTAAGATTTTCAAGTTTTCATAGATATGCTCAATCTACACTATTATTTGAAGTTTTAAATTTTATAATTAAATATGAAAATATATTTTAAGGCTATTACAAAGATTTCCAGTATTTAAACCATATTTTTCGACATTATTCGAAAATACAATTTACTTTGATTGTTTAGAGCCTTGATTCTATACAAACCGCGCCGATATTTAAATACATATATATTTTAATATTTGGGTCGGGTTGATCGGTTCCGGATCTGAGTCTTTTGACTTCAGGTCTAGTTGGGTCCAGGTCCGGGTCCGGGACCAATGTAGTCTGGTCGGATCCAGATCCATTGCCATCCCTAAAACCCCCGTCCCTTCCCAATTGTCAGATGCCCATAACAGACGGTTTAGATGTGAAATTCCTGCACACAAAAGTGACATCGGACTTTTCGACGAGGGATGGTATTGCATCCCATACATCCAATACTTAGAAGGTGCTAAAGTTCAAATTGAATGAACCTCATCCAAGGGTAAAAATGATAAGATAAT